ACGGCAATCCAGCTGAAACCCTAAGCTAGAGCACCTTTACTTACTGAGGAGTTTCAACACATGATGACTATGAGATTTAGCTCTATTTCCTTAACAAAAGACCTGAGAAAGATAATGAGAAAGGAAGCAGACTACTTCAGCTTTGCTGCAACCATAAGTTTTTTCTATAACTATCATCTTTTGGGACAAACCATGTCACTAAGTGTCCTGGAGACAACGAAGATCAGGAGCGTGGCACTAACTGGATCTGATCCTCACTACACATGACTCTCAACAACACTCTCAACACCTGTGGTTAGTGTGGTATTGACTGTGTGTTACAGATCTCTCCCTGGTGGTTACCAAGTTGAGAATGCAACTCTTCAGCTTTGTCATTCAAATTAGAAATGCCATCCTCTTCTACCACAAGCCAAACCATCAACCCATATAAAAACCAACAGTTCCTCAACTCGGTTGAACTGGCACTCTCTTGTGGAGTGTGGAGGCAAGATGGTGTATAATTTCAGATGCTATCTGTAATAGTGCTTTCAACATATGAGAAGCAAGACCAGAATAATGCTGGCTGATTTGAAGCTAACTTCATTATGGTCAAAGCTGTCATTGAAGCTTAGTGATCTGCTCTTGGAGATTGAGGGGGTAAGCTCTGAATGAAGTGCCCAAAGTTAACAGTGTGGAAAGCTGATGTTTTGGATTAGAGAAGGCAATTTTTACCAGCAATTATAGAAAAGTAGTAAGAATATAAAAATAAGCCAATGTTTCTCAACACATCTGTCAAAGATAGCAAGTTAAGCAATTCAGTGGAATATAGTTACAAAAATTTAAATAAATGAGCCTTTTAAAGACTTAACAAGTGAGAGATAGTAAGAACTGCCGATGCTGGAGTCAGAGATAACACAGTGTGCAGCTAGAGGAACACAGCAGGCCAGACAGCATCAGAGAAGCAGGAAAGCTGACGTTTCAGGTCAGGACCCTTCAGTACTTTTTTTAAACAGTTGCAAATGGACCAAATGAAGTTCACCAATCATCCTCACCAATATGTTTTTTTAAGACATGGGAATATCTTGTGCACAATAAAGCATTCATCAAAAATTATAAGTTCAAACATTTAGCTGCCTATATACAATTTAGGTGCCTAAATTCCTAACTAATTGTAGGAAAGAATTCATAAACATTGAAGGATAGAGTCAATTAGTACTTAAAAACCTTGGTTTAGTTAAGGCATGTCAAAAATGGTTTCTAAGCAAAGAATAAAGATGAACATGGACCAACAAAAAAAAAAGAGCCACTGCTGCAGACGCAACATTTAGGGAGCTTGTCAGACCAGATAAGTGCAACTACCGAGTTCCTGGGTGCCTATTATATATTATCTTGTATAAAAATAACAGCCATATTGTATGCACATGGAGATGGGCATAGCACCAGTCGCAGGAATTTTAATGGCTAGGGAAGCTGCTAAGTGCTAAGCTCTGACAATTAAGCGCTCAAACGTACAGCCACCTTGCACTACCACCAACACAATACTGGTGTCAAGAGGGTAGCTGTGGTGTCGGGAGGCTGCCAGATAAATCAAATGGCCTCCTAATGAGTTCCCTGACTGAATGGTCTCTCCTTCATAACATGCCGTAGGACATGGAAGCCACAGGGTAGAGACTGTTAGGTGTTGGACTGTATGCAATGGTGTCTGCAAATACATAGACAGTAAATAATCCTGGGTGTTTTGATAACCTACCTGGTTTCCACTGAATAATTGTTTTTTTTAAACTGTCTCCACTGTTTAACCAGAAATTCTGGCAGCAGTGAGCTGAGAAATCATTGTCTTTGGCAGTATAAAGTGTACAGTTTTAATAGACTTATCCTGCAATTCATGAAGCATGTAACAAGTAGATTCACTGCAACCTACGATGTGTTTTTTTTTAAAACTGCTATTCAACTCCTCACTGCAACTTAGCTCTTTTTCTGTTTTTTTTGCCAGCTTTCTTACTTCTTCTGCCCACTTGAAGGCACTAACTTCTCACAGTTAAACAGTTACATTGTGAACCATTCTTGACTAATGCTATTTTGCATGGGTGCTGATAAACCACTTGAGTACACCCAGTACTGCTACACATTAGGAGTAAATTTGTCTGGCTTTCCCCATTCCTTGCACAGGAAGGTAACTTAATATACCATTGACCAACCGGAGATCAGTAAATGCAATGCAAACTGAAGATCAAACATGCCGCTTTTATCGATTATACGCCTAGATTTCCAAAAAAAAAAAAATTTATGTCATTCCACTCTTAATTATTTAAGGCATGAGCAAATGTCTGCTATACTGCAGATCAACCAACACCAATGACTTCAGGAATGTGGGTCAGTAAATATAGTTTAGTTGTTCTAAAGGCTTTCTATGAGCACTGCAAAACATATTCGCTATCTCATTTGCAGTAACCATCCAGTCGAACAACATATTGTCATTTTATTTTAAAATCACATACCACAATGCTCTCCTATTAATTTCAATATGCAGATAATTCTACTTGAAAAATCAACAAGCTACATTAAAGCAGAATTATGGTTCATTTCCCTCAAATACATTTCTCGCTCTATGGATTTGTGTATTAACAGATATATAACCTGAAACCATTTATGCAATGATTTCATGCTCAAGTTTGAATTTTCAGTAAATGTCAACAGGTCACTGCCTGTGCCAAGCACATTAGATTTACACCCGAAAATGATTTTTCCCCCTTGATTTTGCCTAAATCTTCACATCAAGTGGTTTTTGCAGCCAGTGTTTTTTGATCCTTCAGATTACATTGATTAATGTATTATCTTAGGGCTAATACAATGAATAGGCTGGAAGCTAAATCTTAAATCAGATTTTGCCTGAGAAAGTTATTTCTGAAAGAAACTTAAACCTCTGAAGCAATTTATTCTTCACACTGTCATGCTAACAATCAGATGCCTTTTTTCAAGGTTTCACACCTCGTGATAACCAAACAAATGAGAAAACGATTTTATGCAAATTAATGACATGTTCAAACAGTCCAAATACATTTGTCTACCAGACACTGTTGAGATTTCAATAAATTACTTTTATTTCTTTTCCAAAAAGAAATCTCAGCTCACATTTACAGATGAAGCTACATTCTCACTTTGGACCATACCCAATTACAGCAAGTTGAAATGCTATTGCCAAGCACCCACAATACAAAATTGATTCAAAACCAATTCCAACTTGAACACTTTGCACAGTAAACCCTCACTTATCACTGTGTGGTTTAAATGTTGTTTCGCTTTAACGTCACAAGTTTTTTGGCCTTGTAATACTGTTAAGCATCACAATGTTGATTTTTACATGATCTACCTGGCTCAATAGTGTTACTTTGGCATGGCCTCTCCAGATCTCGGACTTCTAACCTAAGGCAGCTCCCCATGCTCAAGAGTCCAAAATGCAGCCTCTCCCTGGGCCCAATCCTCCAAGTATGGAGCCCAAGATCTGCATCAAAGATAGTTTACAGTACTCATCAGGCTCTAGCCTGCCTGTTTGAGCTGTCACTTGCTCTTGGCCATGCCCTAGCTGCTGACTATTAGTATTTTTTTTTGAGAGGCTGCAGCACCTTTTCTCACTGGTTGCCACATCCTTTAGAAACTGCTCTGACACAATGGAGCTGCATTTCTTAGCTGGCTGTGGCTAAGCTCAGATTGTGCTCAGTCGTGACCGACACCATGCTGGTCAGGAGGCAGGTTAAAGCTCCACAGTCAGCCATGACAAGCAGTTCCACTGGGTCTGAGCAGAACCTGGAGGCAATGGAGGCCAGCAAGAAGGGACACCACAATCTCTACAAGAGATATGACATGGCCAGGAATAAGCTGGTGCTCAGTCTGCAGGCCTGGTGGGAAAAGGTTCCATGGTGCAGACCTCAGGCAGACGTGTCTTGAGCCCCCTTCTTGTTCCAGTAGAGCTGTGTAAGTGGTTTCCGTGCAGGCCTGGCAGTTGACAATTAGAAAGTGTTCAGCAATGTCAAAAAATAGTCCAAGGTACAAAACAATCACAAACATCTTGGAAATCACTTCCAAAGTAGCACCACAACTTCAGTGAGCAATAGCCTTTTATCTAATCAATGAAGCAGCTGGCTGATTTCATCATTCTAACTTGTCATTGGTCAGCCTGGTCAATTGCCATTGCCCTCTTGCTTCCATCTACCAAGTCTTAGATAACCTGAGAAATCCATGTGCAGTCAGTTAAAGCTAGAATCCAAGGTTAAAAGGTGCAGGCAATTGCCTTTAGAATGAATGAATTGCTGACCCATCCATTCTAATGAATTTTGCCGCACAGTAACAAATGCAGACAATTGACACAGTAGCACATTTTATTTCTTTAATATTTTCTTATCAAGATTTTCAGATACGTTATGATAGACCTCTGAAGGTGTTGGGACTTGAACCTAGGCCTCCTGGTCCAGAGGTACAGACACTACCACTATAAAGAACCCTTTATGCATCTGTGAATATCTCTTAGAATTGTTTTGTTTAAAAATAAGTATTATTATTGATGAACTATAATCTAACCATTTTCACCCATGGATTGTAGCACACAGATTTGTTTTACCTAGAAAATGGAACTGCCACACAAGTTAATTCATTGAAAATAAAAACTGGAAATATCTATAATTTCCTTTACTTATTGAGATTTTATTCACAAAACACAACTCATAAATATCTACAGACCTCTGAAATCTAACAAAGTCAGCAAAAATCACACCTGGATCCATATTTTATTTTTAAAGTACAATAAAGGTCATTCTCTAGCAGATTAAATAACAAGTAACCACTATTGAACAGGTATAAGAATGTAAAAACATAAGATTACAGAGGTTTGTACCATGTCGTAGCTGAGATTTTCACAAGTTGTGCTCAGTAATAACGTTAACATTATTTTAATTGTTAATTGCAATGTTAATATGCTGCATTTTAGACTTGACATCCCACAATAACTATTTGTGCAGGACACTAACCTGGGGTACTTTCTTCCTTTGCTGGCATATACAAAAGATTTTTTGTATGGAGGTTCTTCATCAGAGACAGAGTCCTCAGCATTCCTCTCTCCTTGAACAGCAGTTTCTGAAAACCAATGGTCTTTCGAGAATTTCCTGTAGACCAAATAATGCATATTTAAATTTGAATCAAATTTTTATGTTAATCAAATTGCAGTGTTCTGGCATTATAGAGAAAATATCTTCCACTTTAGGAATGCAGTTACCAAACTAGATATCCATTTAGATGAGGACTGAAATTTCCATAGCCTTAAAAAGGCCATAATCAATATTTACCAAAAACCTACTCTATTTTAGCATTTAGACAAGTTCCTACTGCCTACATCAAGTTTCCTGTGATCATGATGCATAATTAACAATCAGTTTTGCTTGGTGCAGCCAAGTTAACATACAACTGCATTGAGGCTACTTAGATTCATCTTATTGCCTGTAGTTGACATCTGCATTCTGATAATGAACTTTTGATGCAATCCAACTACCAATTTCGAAGACCATTGTCTAAATTCAATGCACCACTGTGTCCCAAAAATTAATATAACAATGGCGAAGGGGAAAGTGTGGCACAGTGCTAGTATCTGTACCTCTGAGCCAGGAGGCCAGGGTTCCAAGTCCCACCTGCTCCAGAGGTGTGTCAGATAATCTCCGTACAGGTCGATTAGGTTAAAAAAAAACTATAAAAATGGCAATGCAATAACACAATTATACAGGTTGGCACAAATTGGTAGAGGTAGAGAATGAACTCTTGGAATATATTCTGTACTATTTTCTAGAATAGGAAATATGTTTAGGAAATATGCAAAAGGTAATTATTGATTTTATAGCTAATCTGTCTTTTTTTGAGCAGAGCTGGCTGAGGTATACAGGAAGTTAAAATATGAATGTTGAGAAATAATTTAAAGAAATAATTTATAGTGCTTAATGCATGCACACTCCCTTTAGGAACAAAAAGATCCTTCAGTAAAAAGTGTTACAACGTTGGTTAATTAGATTAAAACAGGCTTACAACATTGCCAAAAAGTATAACAAAGTCAGAAGTTGCTGCAAAAACTGAGGAGGTCTGGTAACATCTATGGAGAGAAAGCAGAGTTAACGTTTTGGGTCCAGTGACCCTTTTCAGAACCTTCTGAAGTTCTGAAGAAGTGTCACTCGACCCAAAATGTTAACACTGCTTTCTCTGCACAGATGCTGCCAGATCTGCTGGGTTTTCCCAGCAATTTCTGACTTTGTTACTGATTACCAGCATCTGCTGTTCTTAAGTTTTTTTTTTAAGCAAAAGTATTGTAATCCTCAAATGGGATGGTTTTAAACAAAACAAACTTTAAAAAAATAAGGTTGGTCACAGAAGTGATAACAATCAACAAAGTGGAATGAAAACAAAGTGCTGAGAAATATAAAAACAGAACTTTAACTAGTTTTTAAATTTCAGATTGTATTGATTTGCTACAAATTTAAGCATGGTGGGATTTGAACCTGTGTTCTAACAGCATCATCCTGAATCTCTTGATTACTCAGCTAATGATAATACCACCACCAACACCATCTTTCCTTATGGTCAAGATGTTCAACAAATATCCTGAACAAATTCCAGAATAGTAGAAAAGCAAGAATCTAATGAGGGTGAAATACTCCGAAGTAATTCATACGAGTAAATTCCATAAGAATGGAACAGGAGTAAGCCATTTGGCCCCTTGAGTCAGCTCCACCATTCAATAGGATCATGGCTGATCCGACATTCCTCACTTCCACTTCCCTGCCCAATCCCCGTAACCCGCACTTTCCTTACTGATCAAGAATCTATCTATCTCAGCCTTAATTATACACAAGGATTCTACCCCCACAGCTCCCTGTGACAGAGTATTAAAGATTCACAACTCTCAGAACAAATTACTCCTCATCTCAGTCTTCAATTTGGCACACCTTTATCCTGAGACTAGGCCCTCTGGTCCTAGGCTCCCCCATGAGGAGAAACATCAAAAATAACAAAATACCAAACTTGGAGAAAGCAAGGGGACTAAAAGCCAATAAATCCTGTGTTCCTAATTGCCCCAGTGTGAAAAAAAAGTGGTTACAAAGATAGGCAGTGCATTGGTTTTAACCTTCCAGAATTTCCGAGATTCTGAAAAGATCTTTATGAATTGGAATACAATAAATATAACCCTGCAGTTAGCCCTCTTCATTGAAGCACTTATGTACTTAACTGTTCTTTGTCTTTACCATAGCTACTGTATACCTGAAGGTTTACTGTTCATCAAATTCATTCACTGAAACTTGCTCCACTTTGGTCTGCGGAACTGGTTCCAGAATCACGTTTTCTACAGCAATCAAGAAAGTCCTCAACAATATTTCAGGAATTCCACCCCTTCTCTTGTCTTTTACGCTGTTCCTATTCCAGCTTATTTCAAGACAATTAAGTCCCATTATCATTACTCCATAGTCCTTGCACCGTTCTGTAGCTTGCTTGCAAATTATTTCATCTATTGCTTTCCCAGTTTCCAGGCATATCTTTAACCCTTTGATTACATCAGCTCTCTGAGTGTTACGATAGTCTGATCAATACTGCCTTCAGTACTTCTTCCTTTTTATCTTTTCTGAATACACTGGCCCGGATATTCCATCTGACCAGATATTCATCTGCAGCATAGAAGTGGTATTGTGTATAAGAACAGCAGGAAAATCGTGCTGGAGCTGATTAAGAGGGAATTGCCTAGGAAATTGAAAATTCTTAGTGATAGTTCCAGTGTATTGAACACTCTGATAAAGTCCCTCAAAACTGAGGAATTCGAGGATTCTGACTCGCTTCAGCTTAAAAGTTACTTAAGAAATATTGCGGCATTAAAATCCTGCTTTAACTCCTGTTTAGATATCAAACTGAACCCTGCACCCACCACTGACTGCCGCACAACAATATTCCATCTCCCTAGATACCCAGCACTGTTCCCCCACTCCACCCAAAACCACTGATAGACTCAACATCCTTCTCCCCCAACCTGACTTCACTGACAAAACCCCTCCGCTCTATCACCAGCTCAACACCACGCCCACCCTCTATCAAACATCACACCAGCCCAAACCCAGTCCTCACCAGACATGATACCACGTCCATCCCCAACAGACCCGACACCTCCCTCGCCACCAGCTGGAGCCTACACCTCCCCCAACACACCCTATGACCTACCCTAATCACTCATCTACTTAGCTAGTACCCTAACCACCTTAGCAGTTTGGCACCCTAACCATTTCGACCATGGGGTGGCAACGGCCTAGTGGTATTGGCACTGGACTGTTAACCCAGAGACTCAAATAATGTTCTGGAGACCCAGGTTCAAATCCCGCCATGGCAGATGGTGGAATTTGAATTCAATAAATATCTGGAATTAAGAGTCTAATGATGACCATGAATCCAATGTCGATTGTCAGGAAGAACCCATCTGGTTCACTAATGTCCTTTAGGGAAGGGATCTTCCATCCTTACCTGGTCTGGCCTACATGTGACTCCAGACCCACAGCAATGTGGGTGACTCTCAACTGCCCAATGGGCAATTAGTGATAGACCTGGCCGGCGACACCCTCATCCCATGAATGAATAAAGGAAAAAAAACAAAACTCCCATGTCAACTCCACATTTATACTTATTTGTTCACAGCAGTCGTCAAAGTGGCCAATTACGCATTCTCACTGCTGCACAGTGGTGGGGGGGGAATGGTTTTAATGATGATTCCTTCCGCCCTGGCTCCAATGTTTCCTGGATAGGTCACTACTGATCCATAACAGGAATGTCCAGGAATCTAAACAATTGATCTAAAGGAAACTGGCTGTTTCTAAGATTTAAACAAGATTGGAAATCATATTTCGGACCCTAATCGGAGTTTCTGAGTCACTAAGCTCCTAACCCTTCTTTAAAATAAAAGCAAAAGATGAGAAACTCAGCAGATCCAGCAGCATAAGCGGAGGGGGGAACAGAGTTAATGCTTCAAGTGCAATATGACTCTTTTGCCAAACTGAATGAGGCTGGAATTTGATGGTTTTGATGTTGTTGACAAAGAAGGAAGAGGAGCAAGTAGAACAGATGGTGAAGGGAGACCAAAGCAAAAGACAAAAGAACTACAGAAGAGGAGCGATATACATGTGAAACAAGTACCAATGGTAGGTGTGAACAGTAGAAAACAGGTCAGCCCTGCAGGATGCAAATCTGTGTATAAGGACACGGGCGGTGGGGTGGTGAAGCAGGGCAGACAATGTACACAAAATGGAGAACTAAGTTCATGGTGTGAAGTTGATGAACATGAAATGTTGAGTCCCAAACATTGTAAAGTGTCTAAATGGAAAGTGAGGCGTTACTCCTATTCGTCACCTTTTTCCTGATCTATGGTTATTGCTTATATCATACTCCTAAGATGAGATATTTACCTGCAATTCAGCAACCTTTAACAACACACTCCATATACTGTGTAGTTTTGCATTTGCATCATCTGATCCATTCTTTACTCTATTGCCATTTGCTGTCTATGCAACTTGATTCCCCCAAATCGAAGTATACGGCAAGTTACTGACAAGTAAAATTCAACTCATACAAGTGCCAGGCAATGACTGCCACTAACAAGATAACATCTAACCATCTCCTCTCGAAATCAAATTTAAGTTTGAACTCTGTTTTTTTCTTTCTACCTTGTTCTTAAGATTCAGTACCTAGGTACTTGTACCTAGATGGTGCCATTACACACTTTTCACTGTACTCCTGTACTTTTGTACTTGAGTGCACATGACAATAAAATCAAAATCAAACTGCAAACCAGGGGTCAATGAACCAGCTGTATAAATACTATCACTACAGAGCAAAAAAATATACAATTATAAAGAGGATGCTAGAGCAGAAAGACCTCAGTGTAAATGTGCACAGAACACTGAAAGGGGCAGGATAGGTAGAAAGAGTGTATAGCATCCTTGTTTTATTAATAGGGGCATGGAGTACAACAGCAAAGAGGTGACACTGAACCTGTGTAAGACACCAGTTACACTTTACCTACAGTACAGTGTATATTTCTGGGTGCCTCACTACAGGAAGGATGTGAATGCATCAGAGTGTGCAGAACAGGTCT